AAAATATTCTAAACACTCATTGCCTATTCAATATATTAGAAGCCACCGCAGTGTACATTTTAAAGTGGTGAATTATCCCACCAGTTTAGCTGAGGATAACCTTGAACTTCTGATTCTCCTACCTCTACCTCCTAAGTGCTGGGATTGCAGACATTTACCACCATGCCCAGTTAACAGTATAATAGTTGAATTTATTTTGTATTGTTTTTGAGATAGGGTCTTCCTATATAGCCCTGGCTGGCCTGGAACTCATTATGTAGAATAGGCTACAGGAGTGTGGAACTCCTAGAGATCTGCCTGTATCTGCTGGGATTAACGGTGTATGCCACCATGCCTGGAATTGTTTTTTGGGAACAGAGTCTTAGTATGTAGCCCAGGCTAGCCTCAAACTTGTGGCGATCCTCTTGCCTCAGCTTCTGGAGTGCTAGGACTACAGGCATGAACCATTACACCCAGGTTATAAGTGAATTTTATCTCGCCATAAATCTCTTACTTCAAACCAACAAACCAGCACCACAGAATTGAGGGGCAGCCACAGGCTGTGCTGGGCCTGGAGACAATCCAGATGCTCGGATGCTTTCCCTCTGCTGAACAGGGCACGGCTTTCTCTGTTGGTGTCTCTCTGTCCCCACACATAGTAATTTGCTCCCTCAACCATATCCAGTGAATCTTCACCTTGCACAGTGAATGATCCACGGAAGGGCCACAGGTACTAAAAGGTCCGGCTTCATTCTGCTCAGGACCCTGGCTCTGATGTCTGAAGGAAGTCACTGAGACACTGGGATTCACGTAGCGGGTGACCATGGGGGACACAGGACTCTCTAAACCATTTCTAGTATTAATGTTGTACTCAACTCAAATGGGGAAACTGAGGCTTGGGAAGTCTAAAGAACTTGTCTAAGGCCACAGAGACAGGAAGGGCTGGTGCTGAGTTTGTGCTCTGGCAGTCAGATTCCAGAGTAAGCAGGGGTGGTAACCACTGCCCTGTCTGGTCTTGACCTGGCCCAGCTCCCTACTGGTGAGAGGCAGAGAGGGATTTGAGTGGAGACTGAGATATAATAAGTACATAAAAATAAATAAATAAACAGGGCTGGAGAGATGGCTCAGTGGTTAAGAGCACTGGCTGCTCTTGCAGAGGACCTGAGTTCAGTTCCCAGCACCCACATGGTGGCTAACAACCATCTGTAACTCCAGTTCCAGTGGATCTGATGCTCTCTTCTGGCCTTGGTAGGCATTGCATGACACAAGTGCCCATACATACATATAGGCAAAACACTCATATGCATAAAATAAAAATAAATTAATTAATTAAAAAATAAGTAAGAGATAATAGAGATCACTGATCACTGAACATCCATCGGACACCATCTATGTGCTGGCACCTTATGGGCACGGGGAGCCAGCACTGAGTAAGTGAACTCTAGGTCTAGTCCCTGATCTCAAATAGTTCATAGAGGGTGGGGTGGAGAGGCAGATAAATATGCAGAACAGTATGCTGGGAATTGTGCTGGGAGTAGGCCAGGGAGGCTTTCTGGAGGAGGAATATTTAAGATGAGATGTGAGGAGCAGGCTGTACCACAGGGCCTAGGAGCTTAGGGCCAGCAGAATGGAGGATGGGGGTGGCAAAGGCCCAGAGCAGAATGCCCAATGGGAGGGAGGGATCAGGACACTATAGACCAGACAGTGTCCTTGCCCCTGCTGCCCCAAAGCTCAACAGGCCGGAGGACATGGCTGGGCCATCAACCAGGCATCCCTCCAGCACTTAGCATCCTCTGCCTCTTCAGAAGAGGAAAATCCAGGCTCATACAGCTGAGACATGGCAGTGTCTGGGTACAGATACCTAGGCTCCAAGGCATGCCACCATGTCACCAGCCCCTCTGAGCATCAGGGTCCCCATTGGGAGAATGGAGGGACAACAAACACTGCTCCATGCAGTGGTCACACCCTGGAGAATGTATTATTCTAAGGGGAAAAAAATCTCAATGTGTTTTCTGTCTGGTGTGAGTCACTCAGGCTTATTTATAACAGAGGAGATCTGGGAACAGCCTGAAGTTCCCACCAAGGGAGCCGGTGGGGGCTGGTGGTGCTGTCATGGTCTTTGAGAATGACAACTGAGGTCATTAGGATGGGGGGCATTGGGACATTTACAGCATTGTTAAGAAGAAAAGAAAATCACTCTCCACTATCATAACTGCATAGATTCAATATAAAAATCACACAGTGAAGGGACAAGGGCTGGGCAGACCAGGAGAAATGGAAAAGTCAGGCTGGTGTTTCAAAATCAGATGTGGTGCCATGCGTGGTGGGACATGCCTGTGAACCCAGCACTTAGAGGTAGGAGGATCGGGAGGAAGGAGGATCAAGAGTTCAAGGTTATCTTCAATTATGTATCAAGTTGAAGGGACTATGAATTTGAACTCTCCCTACTTACTCCTAACATTTCCTATTGACAGAATGGAAGCTGCAGGTTAACTCAAACCACAACCAAGGTATCTACAGAGGATCCAGGTACAGCCACACCAAGAATCTGGAGTGATCTTAAGTCTATGAACTGGGGATGAAATGGGAGAGTGCCAGGTCAGCTGGGCCACAGCAGGCCAGAGAGCAGCAGGGGGCTGGCCAGAGAGGGCCAGAAGAGAGGCCCACAGTCCCAACCAGGCTGTGGGCATGTAGAGGGGCACGGTAGAGTCAGGCACCCTTGTATGTGAGGGCCTCTTGTAGAGGTATTGAGGACTGAAACCCTAACCCTGGTTGGCAGAATTGGAGAGCATAGCTAGGGCCAAGGAAAGAAAAGCCTGGGGCAGGTGATATTGAATGATAAGAGATACTTATCAATTGGTTTTATGGAATGCCAGGCAGGGAAGGGTTCTCACAGAAAGTGCAGAAATGAGATGAGGAAGGAGGAAAAGCAGTCATAATGGCACCTCCCCTTGCCACACAGTGCTATTCTTTCCTTGCCAGACTCTAAGCTCTTTACGTATATTGGCCCCCTGAGTCCTGAAAACCATGCTGTAAGGCAGGTCCTATTACTGTCTCCACATTCCACACGAAGCTGAGAGGCAGAGGAGAGATCCACTGCCCAACAGTCTGGCTCCAGATCTGCACTCTGCAGTCTCCCACCTGAGACCCAAGGGCTTAGCCAGGCAGAGCACAGAAGGTGGTCAGACAGGAGGAACCGGCGTGTATAAAAGCTGGGAACTGGCGTGTATAAAGGCTGAATGCTGTGTCACATTTCCTCAAGGTCACACCATGGTCTCTGTGTGAAGACTGGTGGGCCTGCAGGTGAAAAGGGAGGACCTCTGACTGGGGACTAGAGAGGTGATCCCTAGCGCATCCTAAAGTTCAGAGGCCAGTGGGGGTACGTTAGGGTAGGAGCTGGGGTGCCAGGGAAAGCTGGGGGGGGGTTGGGAAATCTGAGGTCATAAGTCCCTTTCCTCAGTGAGGCTTACTTCCCTCATTGTGAGTAGGGAGGTGAGCATCTGGAAAAAAGATGGCAGCTATGTTTTGGCTATGACATCATTCACTACTTGGTATCAGGGCTACCTGTGTGTCTTGCATCTCCAGAGCATCTCCGAAGCTTAGTGCTACATAGAGATTGGAGAAGGGCTAAGCTGTGTTCTAGACACTCACTGATAGAAACCAGAGTTGGCTGAGACAAATGTCTCACCCTAGGCCCCGCTGTTAATAGTCACATCCCTATCTCAGGCCTGATAGAACACCACAGCTGCAGAAAAGCCAGACAACCCACTTCTCTTGCCAGGATGTCTCCCTGTTGTCCTCCAGCCCCAGTTATCAGCTAGCCATGGGAGCAGAAAACAGCTTCTTTGTTCTGTTCAAAGAAGCAACTCCAGGAGAAGGGCCCAAGGACACCTTGCTGCAGACTTCACAGCTGTGCGTGCCTTCTTTGTTTCCAGTAATATAAAATTCATCATCACCCCCTCACATCTTCACACGGCTTGCCTTTCCACAGAGAAGCAATGTCCCCACTGAACTGAATAAATCCTGTTCAGTCTGCTGCAAGGTCTGGCTCTGGTCTACCTAAACTTTATTCTTTCTCTGTCCTTCTAAATCTAACACTCACCATCTCTGAGCTCAGTGAGCTGATTACAGGATCCTGAGTCTAACACTGTTTGACACTGACTATCTCGGCTCCCTTTTACTTGTTGCTTCACAGACTCCAGGAGGGGCCATAGGCTCCTCCTCAGGGAGCAGTGGGACAGGGGTCTCATGGGGATCCCCTCAAGTCAAACAGAGAAAATCATTTTAACAGAAAGGATGTCAAGTGTGGTGGCACAGCACTTGGGAAGTAGAAGTAGATGGATCAGGAGCAAGTTCATCCTTGGCTACAGAAACAGTTTGAATCCATGAGGCTAGGGAGATGGCTCAGTAGTTAAAGTGCTTGCTGTGCAAGTGTGTGGACCAGAGTTTGGATTCCCAGAACCCACATACATGCTGGGTGAGCATAGCAGCCCACCTGTAATTCTAGTCTCTGAAGGCAGAGATCACCAGTGAGCTGGTTAGTGGAACTAGCCATATCAGTGAGCTCTGCATTTGACTGAGAGATCCTGCCTCAGGGAATAAGGTGGAAGAGCAATGGAAAATGATCCTGACATCAACCTCTGGCCCCACATGCACACACACATGTGCATGCATATGCTCCCCATATGTCCATACACATGCAGACACACACGCACACACACACACACACACACACACACACACACACTCAAGCGAAAATGGAAAAAGAGAAAAGAGTGTTTGGTGCCAGCTTGGGCTACATGAAACCAAGTCTAGCAAACAAAACAAAACAAAGCAGGAAGAATCCACTGTAGTGAAAAGCTGAGGAGAACTCAAATGGGTCCCAGAGTGATGTCCCCATGGCTGTCTGAGCTTAGGCACATAGGGTTGTTACTTGTGTCACTGACAACTCCCACCCCAGGCTTGGTGCTGTGCAGTGGCCCGCAGGTGTGGTTCTTGGAGGGCTTGTCTGGGAGACTCACCACTGAGATGATATTCTGTCACATCCACAGCCATGATGTCCCCTGCAGGGACTGGGACTAGAAGAGAAAAGAGTCAACCATGAGGGTTCAGAGCATCACAATCCTGCCTCTGTGGCACCTGTGTGCCTGTCACTTAAGTTCCTGCTCAGCAGTTGAGTGTGCTTGGTCAGCGTGGTTCCCACTCAGCTGTTCTCCTCCTCCTCCTGCTCCTCCTGCTCCTCCTCCTCCTCTTCCTCCTCCTCCTCCTCTTCTTCCTCTTCTCCTCCTCCTCTTTCTTCTCCTTCCCCATGCCCTCTCCTTTTTTATTTTTTACTTATTTTTCTTTTGAGACAGGGTCTCACTCTCTAGCCCTGGCTAGCCTGAAACTCACTCTGTAGATCAAGCTGGCCTTAATCTCACAGAGATCCACCTGCCTCTGCCTCTCGAGTGCTGGAATTAAAGGCATGCACCACCGTGCCTGGCTCTTCTTTTTTTTTTCTTTTAAAAAATATTTTTGTGTGTGTACATATGTGTACAGAAGGAAGGGGGTACTGGAGCTCCTGAACAGGTGGTTGTGAGGCACCATTTGATGCTGGGAACTAAACTCAGGTCTTCTGCTAGAGCAGTGCTTACTGTTTTTCCAGCTGGCCCGGAACTTGCTACATAGAACAGGTTGGCCTTAAACTCACAGAGATCAGCCTGCCTCTGCTGCCCAAGTGCTGGGAATAAAGGCATGTGCCACCACACCCGGCTGAGCAGTGCCTACTCTTAACTGATGAGCCATCTCTCCAGGCCCCTCCTCATCTTCTTGAGACAAGGTCTCATTAAGTATCCTAGACTGACCTGAAATTTTCAATGTTCCTTCCTCAGTTTCCCCAGTGTGGGAATTATAGGTACATGCCTCCAAGCCCAGCTCCAAGTGTAGTGTTAATATTAAAAAAAAAATTGTAAGTAGCTGGGAATGGTGGTTCATCCCCTTAATCCCAGAAGTCTCCCAAACAGAGGCAGGTGGATCTCTGTGAGACTGAGGCCAGTCTGGTCTCCATAGCAAATTTCAGACCAGCCAGGATTACACAGTAAGACCCTGTCTCAACAAAACAAAAGAAGTGGATAAAGGCAGGTATGGCAGTGCACACTGGTAATCCCAGCACTCAGGAGGGTGAGGTAGGAGAATCATGATTTTGAGGCAAGTCTGAGCAGCATAATGAGAACCTGTCTTGAAAAACACAATGATTTTGTGAGGAGGGGCTGAGATAAAGGGGTCATGTAGCCCAGGCTCACCTTGAACTTGCCGCATAGTTGAGGCTGGCTTTGAACTCCTGACCCTTCTGCATTCACCTCTCAAATAGGTGTTTTCCACCATGCTCCGATAGTAAAGCCTCCTTTTGATTGTGTGTGTGGTATGTGCATGTGCAAGTGCACTCACCTGTACGGGCAAGTGTGGAAGCCACAAGTTGATGTCAGGGTATCTCTCCTCAATCACTTCTCCAACTAATTTTTTGAGACAGGGTCTCTCAATGAACCTGAAGCTCCCTGTTCCGGTTAGACTGGCTGATGAGTGAGCCCTGGGAGCTTCCTGTCCTGTGTCCTGCCCCCTCCCCCAGTTACAAGCACAGGCCCATACCCGGCTTTTATGAGTGTTGGGGATCTGAGCTCTGATCTTCATGCTTGCAAAGCAAGCACTTTAGCCCCTGAGCCATCTCCCAGCCCCATAAAATCTCTTTTTAAGCACTCTAAAAATTCATTTCAGGGTTTCCAGATAAAGCGCAAGATACCCACTGAAATTTAAAATTCAATTTTAGTATAAGTATGCATGGGGTATAGTTATGCTAAAAATGAGTCGCTGTTTACCTAAAGGACAATTTGCTGGAGTCAGTTCTCACCTTCTACCATGAGGACAAAAGTTGCAGTATTAGCAGGTGTCCTGTGTTTGCATTTGCTGTCTCTCACAACCCCATCTCTATCCTAAAAGCAATAGCTGAGAACCACCACCGATCATTAGCACAGGCTTAGTATCCCCAGCCTCAAACTCACTTCCGGGCCTTCCATGTAACCTGGGGAAAAACAAAAGCCAAATTTCCACAATTTTTCCTCTTGACCCTTCCCTGAGGAGGATGCTTTCTTCCCTACACCACTCTCCTTGCCCCGATTTTATGAACCCCTAAGGTCTATGTTATTCTGGAAAGTTCTGGGAGCTCATATAAGCCATTACCTGAGCCCAGGTGACTGCTTAGTTTTCACTGTTATTGTTGCTAAGACATAAGTCTCAGGGTTGTTCTCTAAGTGGGTGGGTGGAGAAGGCTCTGGAATGAGAGGCTAGAATGAGCTGTACTGATTTCACTCAAGGGCAAAGAAGGCTGGGATTACCTCATCTCCACCTCTGGGTTCCCTTGCAGTTCATTAAGTACTGACACTGACATCCCAAAACCTGTAAGGCCCAGTCAGGTGACACAGGGTGAGGTCAGAACTATAGAGGGCTTGCCTGGCTCCAGATGCCTGTCTTTCCTTTCCAACAAGAATACCAACCAGGCATGGCTTAAAAAATAAGTCAGGGACTTAAAAATTTTTTTTTCAATTTTACATTTGTTTGTTTTTGTTGTGTATATGTGTGTATGTATGTCTGTGTGGATGAACGTGTGCCATAGTACATATGTGGGGGTCAGAGAACAACTTTCAGGAGTTGATTCTTTTCTACAATATGGCCTCCAGGGATTGAACTCAGGTCATCAGGCATGGTGGCAAGCACCTTAACCTGTTGAGCCATCTCGCTGGCCTGTTGTTTTGTTTTAATTTTTAATTTTTAATTTTTTTATTTTATTTTATGTGTATGAGTGTTATGCCTGCATGTAAGTAAGCGCACCCGTGTTGCTCAATGCCCTCAGAGGACAGAAGAGGCTGTCGGATCCCCTGGAACTGGAATTACGGACAGTTGTTAGCTGCCACGTGGGTGCTGGGATTCGAACCCAGGTCTTCTGCAAAAACAACCAGTGTTCTTAATTGCTGAGC